ACAAGGTCAACCCAATGAGGAACTAAGACATAAAGTCAGCGCAATGATGAACTAAGACATAAGGTCAGCCCAATGATGAAGTAAGATACAAGGTCAACCCAATGAGGAACTAAGACATAAAGTCAGCGCAATGATGAACTAAGACATAAAGTCAGCGCAATGATGAACTAAGACATAAGGTCAACCCAATGATGAACTAAGACATATGGTCAGCCCAATGATGAACTAAGACATAAGGTCAGCCCAATGATGAACTAAGACATGAGGTCAGCCCAATGATGAACTAAGACAGAAGTTCAGGCCAATTATGAACTAAGCCATAAGGCCAGCGCAATGATGAACTAAGACAGAAGTTCAGGCCAACGATGAATTATCAGTATCGATATTCTCCTTGCATGTAAGAAATTGTAAATAGACTTGTAGACTTTCTATCCATCATCAATTCTTTAATTTTCATTGATCAAGATTGATTACTAAAGAAGAAAGTTATTGAATTTTCAGATTTGAGGTTGCTAAAATAACTTATCATTGGGAATAACATAAAACAGAAGATAACACTTCTACATTTGTATCAAGGTTCACTATTGTATCACAGTTGTATCACTATTTTGAAGGTCCCAAATTCCATGACTAACTTTTCTGACCAAAATATACAAAAAATAAATACTATAACACAATATACATGTGACCTTCAACAGATTCCAATTTGGGAGCGTTCGGTTGGTCAGTACTAGATAGTTCATTCAATATATTGCAATTGTTTTAAAATTATTCAGGAAACAGTACTCATAATCATGTAACGAAGAACAAGCAAATGATTTTCCAGGCTCGGAAAACTAAAATATAAAATACCATGACATTCCAGATTTTCCAGATTTTCCAGCAACCATACGAACCCTGTCTCTAAATCTAATTTTTATCTAGAAATCTTTATCAATGTTTTTTTTTGAACTACAATTCTACATGTATGCTGTGGCGGCCTTGGATGTCTCATAATCTCTTAATAATTCAAGATGCCGGCCGCAATGGTATAAAGTCAATTGTATATAAACAGTGTACATAATGTTGATATTATCAATCATTAATAGTTTATGTTATATATAATACATGAATATTGTTAACAATGTAATGTTTCACATTCTCGTGCACTGATAAGGGTGTCAATAAAAGGACATGCGCACTGTGCTGTCACCATCGAGTCTTGCGCACGTGCTCTCAGTTGAAAGAGAATGATTTTCGCTTATTTTTAGAGTTCAAATGTGGTAAAAATCAAATTGCACACGGTTTTTTGTTGTATGTCCTCTTATTGACACACTCTTGACGTCATAAAATGCTCAAAACTTTGCAGTAAACTTGAGTGGAGACTCAAAACCGGGCACAATTTGTTAACATTTTTGGGGGGATGGGAAAGGGAGGGGGTGGAGAGGAGGAGGAGGAATAGGAGGAGGAGGAGGAGGAGGGGATTGGGGCGCGTCGTGTTTAGGCAACAAGGCAGAGACCCTGTTAGTCTTTATTGCTCGAAACTCATCTTATTCCTATAACCGATTCAGAAGTAAAGTACACATAGGTGTATGGGTTATGGCTATAAATACACTAAATCTGACAGACATACTTCCCAACATGATCTGAGACCCAGCCACTGCAGCTACTCAAAACTTTTCCAGCTCGGGCATTTAACACGTACTATACTACTCAGACAAATAAAATATCTTGAAAGGGTAAAAAGAAAGTTTTAGTGGCCAAAAACTGTTTTGGAAGACGGCCAGAAGTAGCCGAAAATGGGACAAACAGCCCTATAGAATTCTCATGGCCGTTGTGTGCGTAAAACGCTTGCGTGCAGCTATACTACCCGACGGAAGTATGATACGGTACGAATATCACTCGTGGCATTATAAGTCTCAAATTTCTAGTGTATAAAAGAGTGATCGTTAAAAAACATTTCGGGTCAAAAGAACGCGCGAGGCTATCCAATTCAAGACAGTCGATTCTTTTTTGAAACTTAAAAAACGTAAAATCCGCCTTTTTACATGTTGATGCCTCTGTGATTTCGGCGGTTCCGTGCTAATGTTCTGTCGTGTGAAATGGGATCACTTTATTAATACGTAACAATTTGCCTGTGTTATGGAGAGAAAGGTGTCCGCTCTAGAAAAATATAATTAAATTTATCAATATCTGGCTCAATACTAATCTTTATTCCTTACCATTAATAGAGCAAAAATAAGAATTACAGAAAAATGAGATAAACATGAGGATGAAGACAAAAAATATACACCTAATTACAATAGCGTTGCCCAAGAAAAAGAACTTTTCCYATTTAGRRATWATATAAAATCCAGAAGAAAGTGWTCAGCAGGACAAGGTTTTTGAAATTATATTTAAAATATAAATAAGTTAATATGTAAAACTTTTCATCGCCGTTTTTGTTGGAAGAGTATATATTTATTAGCTTGGGATACCTGTGAAAGCCGATTTTTTTTTCTCGCTTAGCAGAACAAAAAATTATTCTAATTTTAATGGTCAAGCTTTTGCAATGAAAAATTTGAATATGTCATTTGTCATTTTTTGATTAATGGTTGAACTATTTTAATGAATACTTCAAAACGAAAAATATGAAAATATACTTCTATTTATTTGATTCAGATGAATTAATTAACCCATTTGTTATATTCTTACGCTGTATTTACCCAAGAAACAGAAATATAAATAAGTGCGAACACTCTGCTGCCCGCTAAAAAGCTCATAGATAAAGTATTTACAAAGTGAAATAAAAATAAAACCACATATGATTCCTTCAAAGTGGTTGAAATCTCAGACATAACATTTCCTTWTCTAGCTTTCACGAGAGTTGAGTCAATTTGAAGTTGGGGGCAGAGAAAGTTTTCACTTGTGTCAATATCCAACAAGGATATRGTGTCTAWGTTGCGATTGTTTTTTGAACCATGTCAGTTCCGTCGACTTTTACACCAAGTATGACTTCTTGTACTTGAACTACGGTTTATGTTATCACAGATAAACAGACACAAAGTTTGGCTTATTTATTAAAACAACGAAAGGGCTAGACCTTTCCTGTTTCGTGTTTACCCTCGGCATATCTTTCGTTGAAAGTAAGGAGACAAGACAAGAAAAGGTCCCGTCGATATCAAATATTGACTCTTTTTTCTTTCTTCCCGCACACCGAAGTATTCCCTTATCGCTTTTAAAGACCTGGATACGTGCGATGTTTACTCTGGAATGATCATTATATCAAATGAAGTGCTTGTTAAAAGCCTCCAAAAATTTGTTCCTGTGCCAATTATCCGACTTCCTATAAGAAAAATCMATCTTAATGTTCCCTAAGAAAGAATAATTCTAGTTTGACGGAGAATTAATCTGAAAACGCGTTCGTGGTGTATGCGCTAGGATCATTCGACTCAATTTCATGCTCTCTTCTTTGGCATGCTTTTAGTAGATTTRCCATCGTATTGTATTCATTAGCTTGGCTCACTTATCAAACAACCAGACAGAATTGTCAGAAACGTTTACAAATGACGTATAATCGGAGATTACCTCTCGGGTAAACCACTTTGTCTTCAATTCTTCATGAATTAATTAAAGAAAACGCTCCAGCCAATGGAAATTACCCATTCTTCAGCCCCAATCATGCGTTGACAAGAAAAACATATATCTACTCGTACACTTTGATTATACAGTGTTGTTTAGCCTTTCACCGGTGGAAGTTTTGTCCATTCACAGAGTTCACCTTAAGCACATAAGAAATTGACCTTTCGAAAATTTTTAGAATTGTCAGTCATTCCTTTGAAAATTATGATGGATGGTGTTTAGAAGACTTGAAAGCTCTTACAGCCTCAACATAGCCAAAATGGAGATGATTATTAGTTAAACGGCCAAGTAGTACAGCTGTACAATCGATCAGAAAAATGGACAACAACACGTACTCTCTTGGTAGCTGCTATCCATTTGATTCGGTTTGGAGGTACAAGCAAGACTTGCACACGTCCTGTATATTTGCGTGCGTTCTTGAAGTCATTTTTCTTGTGCCRATAACTATTGAGAACTTCCTAGTMATTGTAGGAATTTGCAAAACACGYTCTCTWCATTCGCCTGCAAACTTTCTGATCTGTGCTTTAGCGTTTTCAGATCTTGGTGTTGGAATCTTGGCCCTTCCATTTCATCTCGCCTGGAAAGGCTTCTTGCTTGGTAACATGTATAGTTCTTGGTGCATTTCGATTAAGATTGCATATGGTGTAGGWGTTCTTCTTGCCGCAGTGTCATTACTGACAATCACTGCTATTAGTATTGAGAGAACAGTTGCTCTTTACATGGCCTTGCGATACGAACTTGTAGCTACAAACAACAAGATCTTTTTATTCACTGTCATCACTTGGATCTCGATGGCTCTGTTTTCTTTGATCCAGTTCTACGACCTACCGTCTTATCGAATAACTGCTGCATTTATTTCGTTTGTATGCTTTTCTATCAGTTCTCTWTGTTGTTTTAAAATCTACCAAGTTGTACGTCATCATAGAACTCAAATAGATATACAAGAAAACGCTTCGGAGTACTATAGTACMAATATTCCGACGCAAAATAGCKCAAAATCCAACATGAAGGAAAGGAAAAGGTCATCYGCGTCCATGCTTTGTTTGTAYGGGTTATTCTTACTATGTTACACTCCATACATAGGAGTTCAGTTAGTTTTACTAGTTGGTGTAGATAACTTCATTGTGCATGCATCAGAAATAATTACAGTTAGTATAGTTTTCATTAATTCTGTTCTAAATCCTTTACTTTATTGCTGGAGAATGAGGGAAATAAGAMGAGCCATGATGTCGGCTATTCCCTGCTCGTTAAAACGAATAGTTCCTAATATTACAGTCAACAGCCGAGTCTATAATAGCCAAGCAAGGAAAAACAACWTTAGGAGGGCAACTGGGATGTCTGACAACATGTTTGATCACAATAATGTCAGCTCTCTTCGAGTTGACGGTGCTGTCAAATGAATCAAACATAGGAAGTAGKAAYRCACCGTGGACATTGGATGAAGAAGAGGAATCAACAAAAAGGGACTCGTAGCTAATGAACACGATTGACTTTCGTAAATAACTGGAATTAATAAAAGTAAAAGATAGAGCAGAGCAGTAATACAGATCATAAAATATGCCCATTGACATTTCCGAACTGAATATCACGATCAAGATATGTGAATCAAATTTGACATGTTGGATGAATAAGATCTACACGAGTTTTAGAGTTCAATCTGATTTTCTTCGGGAGCTCCTTTGACTTATGAAGCCGGACTTGAACTTATTTTGTTATTGAGATTATTCACTAGCTTATAGCACGATCGTGTCACAAGAATGTCATCCCATATCCTAAGCTTCCATGTAACTATTGGCTTATGATAATTATAGATACAAAATGTTTGAWAGAAATAATATCCTTGGATTAGGACAGAAAACCTTACAAAAACACGTAATACATGAAAAATTAAGCACAGAAAGAAAAAAAGGAACTATATTTATATGTTTACAAAGTCATTTGTAAGATGCCTCACAATTGCGTAAAGTAAATAGTCGTCTAACTTCAGTATATTGGTAATCTAGAGGTCTTTGTTCTTCGAAACTTGCGTAACGCACAGCTGTATTRGTTCGCTCGGAAGCTGCCTGAACTTAATGAATATATAYATTATTTACAAGATTGGAGGTAAGCTWAGAGAAACKGATCCTAGAAATACCTATTTWCTATCTACACATTTTRAGTAATGTTTCGCGTGCAAAATGRGTTCTTTAAACGTTCGAACTCGGACTGCATACAGTTYTACCYATAGCTTAAGCYCTCTGATGAGAACGRACCGGAAATTGTTTTCYTTCAATCATAACTTTATTGGGCATCATTTACTGACCGTTGAAATTAAAAAAAGATAGGCTTYACGTTTTTAGTGCTCTGATTAAATTTCTCCTTAATTTCCTTGTTTTYCACAACATCCTTACAGAGAGAGAATKAGAGGAATGGTGTGTGGAAGCCATGGACTCACTGGGAAAACTAATCGCGATGWCCAAGATTTAGATTTCCACAATGTGTGAAAACTTCACTGTGAATTTAYTAAAAAAATTACAAATAATATGGCATTAAGAATGGGAGTCTGTAATACGTTCCATTTTATATGGCATTTTCAAGATTACAAAATGTGTAAAAAATTTCCAGTCAATTTACAGGTTATTAAAGTAAAAAAAACTTAAAGATTACTCGGAAATAGTATATAAATACAAGTCTCAGCGGATGAGAGTCTGTAATGTGCGTAATTTTATTAAATTTTACAAGATTCTCGCATATTTTGTACAAAATATCAAGATCGATCAGTTATTTCAGTTAAAAGCGACCCCCCGAGTCTTTTTCACGTTTGTTTCTGTAAATAACACTTAAAAACGTGGAGGTTACTGCCTCATAATTCCCGCAAAGGAGTGCAAGATTACTAATCTGAAATGAAGGCCTTTGCCAATGGGGCCAGAGTAATTTTCTGTATTATCAACATTATAACCTATTTTAAAAAAAACCTGTTTTAATTATAATAGCAGCGGCATTAATTTTCAATGAAAACTCGAACCTATATTTATAACACTGCGAATTTGACGGTTGGCCTATATAATTAGTATTTTTTCTTTTTTTATTATTATTATTATTATTATTATTCATTGGATGGAAATTTCCTCGTACAAAGTCTAGCCTTAGCATTTGAATCTAAAGCCGACCTTGAAAAGGTTGTGCACATAAAAACACACTTTTAATGTTGCAATTGTCACGTGTCTTTCCGATATATATTAAGTTTGTGAACGTGCAACATTCTCTAATGTCCATGTAGAATTTTGAAAATGCCTTGTCATTTCTCCWCTAAAACACACCTGACATTTTTAGACAATTTAACACGAACRGAAAKTGAATATTTTCATAAGTYACRCGGCAATTGGAACATTGGAATTGTCTTATTAGTAGGACAAGCGTGTCAAGATCGTCTGTATCTTTATAGTACTGCACATTCGTCTTTTTGTTTAAGTGGTACGTTTGTTATCGCTATTTAGAGTAAGAAAACAAACTGCAAAACGAAACAAAACAACTCCCCCCCAATAAAATAAATTAAAAGATAAAATAAAATTA